CATTACTAAGGAAATGTGCAGCAGCTAGAAGAGAATTAATTATCAGATCTTGGGAGTGATAGAGTTAAAAAAAAACAAAGTAACAATTACTTATGACAAAACATAAAAAGAAATTTTCAATATCTGTTTTAGACGACGGGCGCCGTAATGCAACGGTGGCAAAAGGTGCGCGTCTGGCTGTGAGGTGTGCTGATTTAATGCCGCATACCTGGGAGGATACTGATGGGTCAGTAACTTTGGGTGGATGTGTGCGCTCCATGGCTTGGGACCCATTTGGTGAAAGACTGGCTGTTATATTTAAAGGTATACAGGTGTCTCAAGAAAGGTTGTCGCAAAAAAACGTAAAAGTACACGTGACAACCCGAAAGGTATTGTGGGTCGTTTTCAGGTCACGGTTTCTTGACCTCAGGATGGTAGAAACATCAGTGTAAGGACGAGGCATAGCGGGTTCGATGAATTTATCTGTTTATTTGACTTATTGAAATGCATCGATTACCAGATACCCAGGTTACGTTTTGAGATTGTTCGCGTTCACTTTTGTCCATTTTCCGACAGCCTTCCGCGAAACAGCTGTATTTGCAAAGTTAGATTTTCAGATGAGAGTCATTTTGGTAAACAATCAACCTCTGAACGGACATTCCTTTCTCTTCCCAAGGCGTCCTCGTGTGAAAGCTTTCACTTAATGTATGGTGTATTCATAGCAAAATAAAAAATATTCTCACAGCCAAAGACGGCACACAGCTACACAGACCATACATTTTATGAATCTGTAGACAAGTTTTGTTTGAATGCTGATTTGCTTTTTAGGACACCTGTAACTTAGCTACGTCACCTCATGTTTCAATGGGTAATTGTTATCGGTGGAAATTTTTTGTTCCTTGACAGATGAGAAAAAACATGCTCAAGAACTAGTTGCTGTGTTCAAAACCAGATTGAAACCATCATTTGAAATCATGCCATGGTAAGTAATAATCTCGGAAACTTGTATCTGTGTACATGTAGGCGTGTCCATTCATCTGCTCTTACAGGTGAAACGTGGTCAAGCCTCCTTTGTAAAAGAATAATTGAACCGAATTATTCCAATACTTGTGTTGATAACGTAAATTAGCCACCGTAAACAGTTTCTAACCCGACGTTTCATGCGTTAGCATTTCGTCAGAGCAGATGAACGAAGAAACACTTCACAGTGGCCAATTTACATTTTCAACTCAGGTTATAAAACCAAATTGTTTTGTTATACTCCTTCACCGACGCAGCATCACAGTTTCTTTAGAAATTTACCACCTTTATTCCAATACTTACCTTACTGAAAAAAAAGATTTTATGAATTTAGAAACCAACATCTGAACCTTTGAGATTGGAAATAACTGAATTTTGCGGTGAGGAATTCTGTTGAATTGAAATATCAAAGGATGTAGTTATTTGTGGATGTCTTTGTAGCCATGTGAGTTAGTCAGGAAATTTTCAGTAAGTTAGTACATTCAATATTCTTTAGAACTGTTTGAAAATAACTTTCCACAGTTTCAACTGACTTTGACTTCCCTAATCAATTCTCTGTGTGTTCCTGTTTCGACTCTGATGGTGACTTCTGCCAAGGTTTTCAAAATATCAGTAATCAGTACCGATCATAGTGCTTCTGCGGGCTACTCTCGCTGGGACGATTAGACTAGAACTTTTTGCTGTTTTTATTGCAGTGGCTTTGTAAGGGGACCTCCTGAAACAGTTCCACAAATTGTTACTTTTCAACAAGACTTCAAGAAAGGAGCACTTCTGACTGTTGTAAGTCGAGATTGTGGATGAAAATTTTGCAAGTTTAAAAAGTGTGTAGGGTATGAGACTGGCTCAAACATTTATCTGAATTCATGTTAGGGAGCATTCCCTAGTTTTGTTGGCATGAAGGAACCAGAGATGTTGCTACTTCAGTAAGACAGGAAACTGGTCCATTGCGCTGGCTACTAGAATCAGATTCAATGCATTGGTGGAGAGAACCTCTTTGAGATTAAGGTTAAGTCTATGAATGGCTTCAAACCGAACTAAATATAAAGGTTCTGAATTCAGAGTTTTCCGGCGTGCGAAAACTGTGTAACGATTGACGGACATCGGGAACGGCTTAACCACCAGTTTTTGCTGCAAATGCTTTGCCGATTGAAAAAAAAAATGATCATTCCAAAACAGGAAAAACAATCGGCTAACTCGTACCTACCAATTACACAAACGCGTCTTAGAATAGACGCGTAGGCTCGTTTGTCTAATTAGTATGCGTATGGCCTTATACGCGTACTATGCGCGTAAAACGCGCAAAGTACCCTACATCTCTAAGCTACACTGTAGTCGGAAAGACATGATTATAACGCTTGAAAAGGTTCACTGTAGTGCCATTGGACATTTGCGAAATTTACGAAACTGTATTTTGTAGACTTAGACGTTATGTGTATCAATAATTTTTGGTCTGTTTGTTTTTGCAGTGTTGGTCAGATGGAAGTGTATCATTTATTCCTTTACTGTTTTCTCCATCTTCTTCCGTTGGTTCCTTCCAAAATGGAGCGTTGAAGTCACAGTGATCGATCAAATGAGCTTGTAAATAAGACTGTATTTTTGTCATTATAGTATTGATAACGGACTCTGTAGGAGGAACACTTTCTATTTTCAATGTTATAACAGCTTTAGATTTCACGTGTAGTATCACGTGATTTTTGATGTAAACAAACCCCGAAAGTTCGGACATTGAGTCGAGCTCGCAGCATATGTGTCCAAACTTCGGCTTTGGAAATTTTTCTTAAATAACTTCCCACTTTCAAGAAGCGTGTTTTAGCTCAAAATTGACATCTTTCTTTCGTCATTTATTTGATCGTTTATTAAGCAAGTTGTCATTTCGCGGCCGTTTAAGCAGATGCGAAGAATGTTACAGGAAGCGTTGCGGCATGGAATAATTGAACTAGTTCTGCATACAGTGATGTATCTGATATGGTATTTTCAGGGTGTTTAGTACGTAGATTGTCAGATAGATCCCCGTCCGACAGGAAATTAGTGCCCACGAATCGCAGTTGGACAAAAGGAGAGAAAGCAAAGGTGGATAAGGTTATGTCATCGAGCTGTCCTTCGTGCACACAAACGAGTCACCTCGATGACATAACCTTATCCACCTTTGCCTTCTCTCCTTTTGTCCAACTGCCCCCGGAAAATGGAAAAACTTGACTGGGTCGCCGTTAGCGTTTCTTACCCAGCAGTTGAGGTATCGTGAATCGTTTTTTAAGGTGCCATAAGCTCATCTCTTTGTCGTAACCATTATGTTTAGGTATACACTTACTAAACAACTGCAATCGTACACGTTCGTAGAGTTGAAATCGGTTTTATTTTTGGGAATCAAGGCTTCCTCACGTTCTACAGCGAGCTCGACTCGATGTCCGAATTTTCGGGGTTTGTTTACATCAAAAATCACGTGATACTACACGTGCAATCTAAAGCCCAAAAGGTGAATTGGAATTAAGTTAAAATACCAAATGATTACTTCTTAAAAAAAGAACTTGTGATGATTCTTCGGTTTCTTGACCAACATTTAATTTCTCGTTACAGTAATACTGCTAAATCACTCATTAAGATCAAGTGGTTATAGGAAATGATAGCCAATCCCAATGGGGTTTACCTTTAGCTGTAAAACGGCCAACCTATTTAGCTGTTAGGCTCACAAATTGACAAAATTTAACCGCCAGTCGTAAAAAAAGTCAACTGTAAACTTTTTTCTCTTAACCAAAAAACCGATAGCCGTAAAATGAGCAAAGTTTTAGTCGTCAATAGTACAAGCTATCTCCCCATTAAGACCCTCTACCAAAGGAAATGCTTGGAGAGAATTTAGATACTGGTCAGCGGTTAGGGTGTAAAGGATTAAGCCCCAACCACAGAAAGCAACAGGATCAATGGAGAGATTAAATTGTCTAGCTACTGGCTAGACACTTTGATCTCCCCAATCATTCTAGGCAGCGTGTTGCAGTTTACGGCCTTTCCTTACATCTAGGCAGTTTGGAAAGCCGTAAAACTCTAGAACAAAAATTTATCTCTCTAATCTGCACTGTTAATCCTCACTGTATCAACGAACGCTTTTCATTCACCTAATGTATTCGTGTTTTTATCGTTGCCGTCTTCCCACCCATTCTGCAAATAAACACACACAACCTACAATTCTTCAATTCTCTCTCTGATGAGGGGCTAACGCCCAAAACATCAGCTTTAAAAACTCTTTGAAGAGGCCAATTTACATCATCAACTCAGTTGAAAAAACCAAATTATTTTGTCATATTCTCTCACCGACGCAGCACCAGTTTCTTTAGAAACTTACCCCCTTTATTCATTTGTTTTCGGATGGCTCCGTTTGCGTAAGCGTCTTAATGCGTTTGGCTGGCAGAAACACCTGGCGTGGACTGGGTTTGTTTCGTCGTAATGCCCTTAGAGAGGGTGGGGAGGATCAGATATCCAGCGAGACTATCCCAAGGGCCGATATCTCCTCCGTATATCCCGTATCCCGCTTATAAATTCTCTGAAAGACCCCGTATCTCGTAAACCGTGAAGCAGATGGACATAGACTACCCAAGTTATCTTAATCTCGTTTTATTTTGTGGTGTAACAAGGATTTATGCCGCACTATTCAGAGATCACAATTAAATGAATGGATTACCGACATAATTCAACTATGTCCTTAGGAAAGAACAGTACGTGCCAATTTCCGAGAGCCGATATTAGCAATTAGCAATAACAAGTGTCGTTTTCACACCATCATGAAATTTTCCTGATTCTTGTTCCGTCGCAGTATCTCCCATGATGTCTGGGAAAGACTGTCTTAGCATCACGCGGAGCTCAGAGGATTTCTTTAAAAAATATTGTGATGTAATTTAGACTGATAATGTAATTTTTATCTAGCATGAAAACACAAATGCAACGGACACTTAGATACAACACACTGATCTGACAGTGAGATGAGTCATGCCGAAATATGGTTTATAAATATGTTATTTTGAATTCAATATTTATTTAAAATCATAAAAAAGACAGTGACAGCTTTTGTGCTTTTCACACAATATTTTTCCATTTTACATTGCACCCAAGCGAATATTTAATTAATGTGTCCGGTTCACCCATACGAGCCACGTAAATACATTTGAACAAATAACATGTAAATACCACAAGATGTCTTCACTCCATTTGATACCAGTTTTCATGAACTTCGTTTGTTATTCTTCGAAAACGAACATATGTTAATCGTGCGCCACAGGGCAAACGGCAAAGGAAATATTGTTATGCTAATGATTTGTCACGAAATCGCATGGGAAACACACGTTCATCAGTGCTTGTAATCTTCCTTTGCCCAAGGTAAAAATTGTTTCTAGCATTCCACGAGAATTTTTCAGAAATCGAGAAAATCCCAAAATAAAATCGAGTTAGAATGACTCGATAAAAAATTGACCTCAAACCGGTGAATAGGCCTCAAGATCTAGTTACTGTGTTTGGTATTTTCATTCATAATTTTATAGTAAATAATGTTACGCGTTTTTTGCAAGTCTTTCCTTTTGTTCGCTGTTAGAATTCACTGCTCTATTCCGATGATTCTTAGCTGAAGATTGCTTGATCTTCTTTGCTAAGCTATTCTTTGTTCTTTGGGTATTCACTGAAGGCTTCAGAAATAAAGTGTTCATTTCGATAGCCGCGAGTGTTCCGATGATCGGTCCGAGCCAAAACACGAACAGATGCTCGGTAATAACCTCTTTTCTCGAACAATAAACGAACGTTTGGGCCGTAGCCAGCGCAGGATTCATCCACGTTCCAGTAGTTTCGGAAAGAAAAAAGCTGAGAAGGACACAGACCGCCGATCGAATCACTGGGTTGAACCTTCTTAGTGTACCACGTGACAAGAAGTCGCTCGTGGTGGACACGAAAGTGGCCAAGATTTCGATCGAAAATCCATACAACAGGGAAACGTCGAGCGTAGATCGAAGGCCTTTCTTGACTTGCTGATAATGTAGTTCACTCCATGTCGACAGCCATAGCATCTGAATGAACGGAAAACTCAAAAGCGCGCCTAAAACTTGGAAGACGATTTTCGCTAGATTATCCGTGAGCCATCCCTGATCGTAAACTAGATCCTCTAAAAGCCCGCAAGGATTCGCCAAGGCTCCTTCAAAAACAAACCCC